AAGGGGTGTGTGTGTATACAAGGGGGGGAGAGAGAGAGAGAGAGCGATAACGGCTCCCCTTAACATGGCTCAGACGGCCCATCCAGGCTATCCGAAGGGTCCTCGCAGACATGTAGCGCGGACCCCCCCACCAAAATCGAGGCAGGTAATGAATATGAAATAGAGCACGAGCTGGCCGAATATGTAGTCAAGTTTCGAATTCAGGTCTGTGTTTCAGCAGTTATGGGTTGCTCACGTAGCTAGGGCCTGTTGGTCTCTGCACGTGACTCTTAGGGCTTGACTGCACTACTCACGAAATGTGCAAAATTAGAATGAATCTTCTGCAGAACGTGGAATAATACGCCACCATATGTTTTGTCTTTTGTGCATTCCGTGAGTAAAGGCCCTTAGGGCCACTGCATGTATTCCTAAGAAAAGAAAAACGAGAAAAGAAAAGAAAAGCGCAAAAACAGAGAAATGGTGACCCATAACCAACATGCACAGACCTGAATTCGAATCCAGACTATATATTCTCTGGCCACCCTCAGGTAGTACAAGGTTGAAGTGTATCTCTGCATGACGTCGGGTCCCAGCTAATATGCTCTAGGGATCCTTTCGAAGAGAGGCTGAACACAGCGAGGACATTTTTGTTTTTCTATTTTTTTAATGCGCCGCATCACTTGTGTGTGCGTGCATGCGCGTGCGGCACCCCGCGCATGAGCTGCAAGTATGATTCGAACACATCTCTCTCTCTCTCTCTCTCTCTCTCTCTCACACACACACACACACACACACACACACACACACACACACACACACAAAGGGGGTCCGAAAGGGGGTCTGAAATCCCCCGGCAGGTGTGTGCGCTGGGAGGGCCCGGCCCCCAACCGGGTGCCCTGCCCGGCCAGGCCGCCCGGGACCTCCCCCGGGCCCCTGCCTGTCACCCGGGCGGCCTGGATCCCCACTCAGATAAAAACATATAAAACAGCAAGCCAAAAGTGCAATTTCATGAAATTTCACCAACATTTCAATTTGTCGATTTTCACGATTTTCACCAAAAACAACCATCTCCAGGAACCCTAAGGGTGAAAAGTGGGGGTACCTGTTAACTATTTGTGTGAGACTCACCCACACGCGCTTGCACTTGCACACAGCGCCCAAACTCAACAAGTAAGCACGGGGCATACATGCAAGATAGCTTGATCACAAACATATCCAGAGAACACAGCAAACAAAGTCTGATTCTGAATCTTTACCAAAAACATCAACGGGACAATGGACTGGATTTTCTCAGAAATGTCCAGAGTTCTTGCACAGCACAAAACAAAATGATGCTGCAAAGGTAACGGCTCCCCAAACAAAACACGCAAAGATAAAGAAAAAAGAATATTTGGTGGTATTCCCTGCTATTTTCTTGCATGCGGGTTTTCGTCTGCTCTCAGGCTCTTCTTTTTCTTATTGTGAAAGAAGAAGCATATGATACGGCGGTTCCTTATGCGTTTTCTTTTTTTTGTGCTTTTTTTTTTTTTCTGTTTTTGCGGGCGAAGCCGCAACGGGTCATCTAGTATAGTATATACTCACTGTTTGCCCTGAGGTGCGAGGGAAGTTGGTTGTTTTATAGCTTTGTCTTTTGAGAGTTTTTCCTTTCCTATTTTTTATTCTGTTTTTTTTTTTTTTTTTTTTTTTTTTCATACAGGAAAAGCAATATTTGCTTAGCAGAGGTGCAATATACAGACGCAGAGGCCAATCCACTGAGCCAAACATATTTGCAGCTGCTCTCTGGCTTAGGGATTGCAGTTTTTGTTCCGTGTTTTATTCCTGTCTCTCTCTCTCTCTCTCTCCCCCTCTCTCCCTATCGCTCCCCCCGCCTCCCCTTTTTGTTGAGTAGATAGGTGATGTGATGATGTGTTGCGATCGAGTAAGAGCTTGTGAAGATTTGTGAGTGGCAATTTGATCGTCTCCTCCTATGTCTGTTTGATTTTGACGCTCTGTTTTGTACATTCGGTGGAGTGCCCTCCCTGTGCCCTCCGTACTCAAGCCATATATTGTATGTCGGCGTATCCTTTGCCTTGATTAGTGCAAGTTAGGTATGAAGGCACTAGTGCAAATATCAAATGGATTTCAAATGATCAGCGCCGATTCAGCGGTGTTCTTTTTCATGGCCCAAAACTAATCTGAATCAGTCAGAATGTAATAGGTCATGATATAGTTATATGAAAGCTGTTGTCATCCTATGTATCGAATACGAGGCCGTTGTGTGTGTACCTCACCTGGAAATTGCCACAAATACAGATGTAATGACCCCCTGTTCTATCCAGTGGACTGGCAATATGGGGAACATGCATGGCCAGAACCTAATTTGATGCGAGTGTGATGGTGGCATGCCAATATTTGTGAGAAAGATTAAAAAAATTGAATGCAACCATGAATGTGCAAGGCATTAGCAATAGCAGACTGTCAAATTGTGTCAATGCAATTCTGGATAAATGGTTGACTGCTTCAGGGCATGCAAACCTCTGGGGCTGCTGAGCGAGGCTCGCCCGTTGGGGAGTGAGAGTATACTGCTCTCTTTGCCCAAATATAGCACGCAGGATGACATGGCCTTGGATCTTTGGGGTGCTGTTATCACTTGGAGATGGATGCCTCCTGTTTGATGTTCTTTTTCGGAAAGAAAAAAAAACATGCAAAGGATTACGATTGAACTTGAGGGCAACTGTTGGGACGTACAGGCATTGTGTTTGGGAGGAGAGAGTCTAGATCGGGGCTGGGCTGAAGTGTATAATTAATAACTGGGTAGACAACAGGTGAATGTCCAGACTAAGAACCAGTGTGGCGGATTAGGCAAAACTCAATTTGCTTATCCGAATTGAGAGAAAAAAGAAGAAAAGAAAAAGAACTATAATCATAGTATAATGACAATAAAAAAGGCCTGAAAGGCCGTCCTGTCCAGATTCGACAGGTAATTGAATTGGTTGGGCTTAAAGAGTTAGCCTTAAAAAAAAAAAAAAAAAAAGACAAGACAGGAAAGAAAGAAAAGAAACGGAACTGGGAAAAAGTTTGGAAACTGGTTAATTTGGTGCGGACTTGCAGAACCACAGGCCTCGCAGAAGGAGCCTGACCTTTTGTTTTGTGATGGTGATCTGGTCGTTGCATGGATACTGGTGGTTAAAGATGCGATTGTAATGCCTCTGCCTTTATCCTCTGGGAAAAAAAAATACTGTAGGTATGTGATCACTGTGATGTCGAAGTGGATTTTATAGGCAGGCAAGGGCAGTGGCTTATAGCAGGCACATGGTGTAAGTGGACAGTGGTTGTTGTGGCCGCATGTTCAATTTGGGGACGGTTCACATGCAGCCGTTGTATATGTCTCTCTCTCTCTCTCTCTCTCTCTCTCTCTCTCTCTCTCTCTCTCTCTCTCTCTCTCTCTCTCTCTCTCTCTCTCTCTCTCTCTC